CCACACACCCCCATGGACCCACACAAGATAAAATATGTTACATGACTTACATTTTTGTAATTTTCCTGTTGAGCAGTATGAGAATTACTAATTGGTTTCCCTCGAAATGGATTGTCGTCGGAGAAGATCGATGCGGTGGCGGCATTCGCCGAGACTTCTCCAAACAGGTGTTGGAAAATGCTGGATGAATTAGAATTTGGGGCAACATTTCCGCTTTCTTTGTCATGTGGTTTCCGCTGAATTGGACAGAGTAAAAATCCACTTTCATGGCCACCGAATAGCTCGACGGCGTGGACGAAACGGCACGAAGGGTGCTGATCCAACGCATTTTGAGGGCCGCATGCTCCGCTTCACAGGAAGCTTAGGGAGAAATGTCGATCTCATAATCATCATCCCGTGAGACGGCGGAGCATCGTGGTGAGGGTGAAGGTGATGGTGGTGAGAAGCTGCGGCTCCTATTCCAACTTCGTCGTACTGATTGTGGGGCAGCTGGTCAAATCATGAATTCCAAAATTGACACAGAAGACTTTGTGAAAATGGAAGGAAATTAAAAATGGAGGTGAGAGGTGAAAATGGGTCAAAAGCGAGTGTTGGATTTAATTAACCCGGGGTAGACCCGAATTACTAAACGCGATAAGTAATGGATAGGAAAAATGTGTGTCACGGGGACAACTCTGTATTGATAATATTCGTAAAGGGGTTACAGGACAAATGTGGTGATAATAATAGAAGTAGATGTCCCTAGGCAAGACACTAACTAATCCTTTTATACTAGCCAAGACTCCCAACCGCCCCCTATTCTCGCGGGGCAGTTGGATCACGCATTGACCGGGTCCATGCGAGTGCCCGGGGCCATCTTGTGCCTCCAGGCCCACATAGGCCTCGCCCGAGGTCGTAGGTCGAGGCCTTGGTCGGCCTCGCCGTAGGCCGAGGCCTTGGTCGGCCCATCCGGGGCCGCCGTAGGCCTTCGCGCCGCCTTCCGGGTCGGTTCGCCCCGAGCCCATACTCAATATATCCATCATCAGTCCCCCACTCTCCGAGTTGCGAGTCATCGTCAACGAAGGAGAGTAGCCTGAGTCGAAGGTTGAGCCCAAGCCGCAAAGTATTGTCCATGCCGCGCCCCCGGGCACCCGCGTTGCGCTCGGGACTTCCTCTCCCCGGGACACCCATGAGTCTTGGATTCCCCCCTTCCACCAATGCCTAGGGAAACCCACATGTCACACCCATCAACTCCCCTCAACTTTCCCATTTCCCAAAGTTTGACCTTTTCTCTTCTTATCTTCTTATCCCATTTTCAAAATTCAAACTTTCCAACTACCCAAAATCTACTCCCATCCTCTCTCCACTTTCCTTACTTAAACCTTCTTCCCTCCATCTCTCACACTCCTCACTCGCCACTCCCACACACCCTCTCCCCGTCGGCCCTTCTCACACCGCCCCCTCGCCACGCCGCCGTCCCCGTGCCACGCCAACCTCCTCATCGCGGCCCTCCGACTTCCCCAATTTTCCCAACTTCTCCAAACACCCACTCCACTCTTTCCCCTCTCACCCCTACTTAGAATCTCTCACTCTCTCACCGCCCACTCCACTCTCTCTACCCGCCGGCCTCGCCCCCTTACCGTGCTACACCGGCGACCGCCCCAAGGCTCTCCGGCCTCCCCACTCTCCCCCCTTTAGCTCCGACTTCCTCCCCGTATGTCCGCCGAGTTCGACGCCGCCGAGTTTGACGCCATCGATTTTAGCGATCTCTTCGTGTCTTTAGGCGATACCGATCCCTCCATGGACCCTGAGGAGGACCTTTTCGCCCCCCCCCCCCTACGGCAACCGAGGCCCGCACCGGCCTCCCAACGACACCCCGGTCGAGGCTCGCCCCCTTCAAGCCGTGCCCGGGGCCACCGCCACCTCCACTCGTAAGTTAACTCGTTCCGAACTTGACCCCACTATTCCCCGTTCCGTGCGTCCTTATATTACCGAGGAAGACTTGGACCTCGTGCGGTTGTACGTGGGACCCGGCGTGGAAGTCCTCGCCCCCTCCCGCACGAGAATGTCACCGAGCCCCCGGAGGGCCGATTCTTTGGCGTCCACGTTCTTTCTCTAGCCTCGGGCCTACGGTTCCCTCTCCACCCCTTCGTGGTCGAGTTGTTGAACCTCCATGGGGTCCCTCCGGGACAACTAGTCCCCCACTCTCACTCCATACCAATAGCATTCCTTCTCCGTTGTGAGGACGTCGGGGTCGCGCCCTCCCTCGATCTTTTCCACTATATTTTTAAAGCCCGAAAATTCCTCGGGGGTTAAAAGCAAAGGTTTCATGGCTTTCGCGGCCCGTGCCGGTATGAAAATTTTCAAAGACCCCAAAACTGTTGAATGGAAATCCAAGTTCGTTTATCTCTCCGTAGGCCCTGAGCTCCCCTTCCATGCCCCCGTGTGGAACACCCATTTCCTTAAATATTCCACCCCTCCGGGCACCCCTTCCTTAGCTGCTAGCGCCAAAAAATTCTTAGGAGACAAGGAGGAGCTTAGGATGGAGGCCTTGATGACCCCGGAGAGGTTGGCCGCCTTGGGCTTCATAGGTGGGGCTCCGCCGTCCCGGCGTTATCGGCCTCCCGGGCCAACCTGGGCACGAGGCCGCCCTTCGGGGCATACTGAGGCCTCCTCGGACGAGGTTGAGGCCGAGGGTCACTATGGGGTCCCTCGGGCGAGCCTTGGCCGAGGGGCCGGAGGACCATGAGTCCGTCTTCTCCGCCACCGAGTCCGAGATTGAGGTCGCCCCGTCCGAGGTCGAGGTTGTCCTGCCCGAGGTCGAGGTTGGCGTCGAGCTCCGCCCCGCCGTGCCAGGAGGTCGCTCTCGTCCCCTCTTTCTCGTCCTTATATATATTCAGCTGTATGTCTCTTGCTTTTCTTTTTATCACAAACTGCCGTATCTGATAAACACTTTCTACTTGCAGGTGGGTCCTCCACGATGGTTTCTCGCGGGGAACTGATACGCCGTGCTGCCGCCGCCCGGGTCCTGCATCCAAGAGACAGAGAGTCGTCCCCGAGGGGACAGCCGTGCCCCTCGGGTGCCGCCTGCCGACACACGAGCTAGGACTCGAGTTTCCGTTCCTCCCGGCGTCGTGGTTACTTCCGCGCCTCCCGCTTCTGCCCCTCCAGCGGGCTGGCTTCTATCTCTCTTGGCGAGGCGGCCCGCCTTCGGGACACAGTCTTAGGCATGCTTGGGCCTGGAGCGACGGAGTCCTTTCGGGCAGATGGGTTGCCCCCCATACTTCGTGATAGTCTCTCGGTACTCCCCGTTTCTTGACTTTTATGCATTTACTTTGAATGTTTGCACATCTCTTAACCCCTCCCTTTTCAGGTGTTTCTCCGCAGCTCCGTAGCGCTTGAGGAGGTCGAGTTCGCGAAGGCGCAGGCGCAGGAGGCCAATCAACAGGCCGATGACTTGAGGAAGGCTCTAGAGGCCAAGCAGGCAGAGTGCCGCAAGATAGCCCAGGACTTCGAGGCTGCCAAGAAGAGACACTCGGAGGAGATCATCCGCGCCGTTTGTAGCTACAAGAGATCTGATGGTTTTCGTCGTGACGTGAAGGCCTATGCCGACGAGCATTCGGAGGCCCTGGTGACCGCTTGGTTGGCTACGGCCCCGGGCCAGGAGAGACTAGCAGAGGAGGGTGCGTTCTCCTACAACTTGGGATGCTACTCGACGCAGCGTGATATCTATGCCCTTCTCCGTCAGCGAGATGAGAGCTTTACCCCGAGACTTGGGGCTACCCGCTGAGTTGGCAGACCCCGAGGCCGAGGAGCTGGGCCCGGACCCTCCGGAGGAGACGCGGGCAGAGATCGACGTCAACCTGGACCCCTCTCATACACAGACATCCTCCTTGGTGGCTGGTTCTTCCCGCGACGGGGTCGCCTCTGAAGCTTTGGAAGCGGAACATCCAGCCGCCGGTCGCCAGGAGGGCGCCCCTTAGGGAGTCGTAGATGCAGGCCCTTAACTCTTTATTTTGCTATGTATTTTGGATTTCTAGACTTTATGTACGGAACTGTTGGTTTATAACTTGCCTTGCTTCGGATACCTTTCCGCGTTCGCTCATATTTCTTATTATTAGTATTTTTTTTTTTAAGGCCGGAGGTTAGCGATTAAGTACTTGGGTCGCTAGCTCTTCCGTCGGAGTTGGTACGCGAGGCCTCGTGCCTCCTTAGGGCAGCCGTCGGCCCCAAGTCACCGGACTTGGGCCGCTAGCTCTTCCGTCGGAGTTGGTACGCGAGGTCGGGCCTCGTGCCTCCTTAGGGTAGCCGTCGGCCCCAAGTCAGACTTGGGCCGCTAAGCTCTTCCGTCGGAGTTGGTACGCGAGGCCGGGCCTCGTGCCTCCTTAGGGCAGCCGTCGGCCCCAAGTCACCGGACTTGGGCGCTAGGCTCTTCCGTCGAGTTGGTACGCCGGGCCTCGTGCCTCCTTAGGGCACGAGGTTCGGCCCTTAGGCCCAAGTCATCGGACTTGGGCCGCTAAGCTCTTCCGTCGGAGTTGGTACGCGAGCCTCGTGCCTCCTTCCAAGGGCAGCTTCCGTCGGAGTTTGGTCGAGCTCTTCCGTCGGAGTTGGTGAGGTCGGCCTCGTCCTCCTTAGGGTTTGTCAGAGGGTCATACGGGTGTAGCCACCCCCGATGAGTGGGATGAGTCCTTGGCGAAGTACTATTACGTTTTATTGAAATCAGAAAAGGGTGGATCACCTTACAGGAAAAGAAATAAAACGGAAATCATCACTGAAAGTATTTGAGCAGGTGCTCAGAGTTCCACACCCTATCTATCGTCTTGCCTTTCGGGGTTTTGAGTTTGTAGCTGCCGGGACGGACCACGGCTGTGACTATGTACGGGCCTTCCACCTCTTAGCGAACTTGCCTCCCTCGAGGGGCTGACTTGCTTCGCGCCTCCTCAGAACGTAGTCGCCGACCTGGAAGTAACGGGGTCGGACTCGCTTGTCATGGTAGGCTTTGGCCTGGCGCTGGTAATTTTCTACCGGGTGGTCGCAGTCTCCCTCTTCTCGTCGATAAGGTGGAGCTCGATCTTGTGGTTGTCCTCGTTCATGTCGGGGTCATACACTTGGGCCCGATAGGGGGGTATGGCGACCTCCGCGGGGGCCCGGGCTTCAAAGCCATAAGATAATGAGAATGGGGTCTCCCCGGTGGCCCTCCTCGGGGTGGTGCGGTAGGTCCAGAGGACGACATCCAACTCCTCCACCCATGCGCCTTTGGCAGATTCTAGATTCTTCTGGAGTCCATCCACGATAGTGCGGTTGACATTTTCGACTTGGCCGTTGGCCTGGGGATAGGAGACGGCTACACGGGTATGCGTTATGCGCCATTGGGCACAAAACTCACTGAACTCCTTGCTCTCGAACTGGCGCCCGTTGTCCGTGATGATCTGCATTGGGACCCCGAAGCGGCACAGGATGTTCTTGTAGATGAACTGTTTGCACCGGGCACTTGTGATGCTGGCTAGGGTTCGGCTTCTACCCACTTAGTGAAGTAGTCCACTGCTACTATCAGGTACTTCCTCTTGCCCGATCCCATCGGGAGGGCCCCGACCAGGTCGACCCCCCACCGGGAGAACGGGATGACTGAACTGATCGGGGTGTAGTTAGTGGCTGGGCGACCTGGGCCCACCTGGAATTGCTGACAGGTTGGGCAGCTCCTCGCATAGTCCGCGCACTCCTTGGCCATCCGAGGCCAAAAGTAGCCCTGTAAGATGGCCTTCCGGGCCATGGTGTAGGCCCCCTGGTGGGCGGAGCAGGTCCCCTCGTGGATTTCCTCCATGACCGCCCTTGCTTCCTCGGGGTACAGGCAGCGCAACAAGGTGCCGTTGTAGGATCGTTTGTAGAGTGTGTCCCCGATGAGTAGGTAGGTTGGGGCCCTCCGCTGAACGAGCTTGGCGTCTGCTTCGTCGGGTGGCAGGGCGCCGACTCCTTGTACACTTTGAGGTGGTCCAGCCAGCAGGCGGAACGAACTTGCACGGGAAGGACCGGGTAGGCCTCGAGGCTGGACCTCGCGAGGTCTTCCACCCGGGCGATCTTGGAGACATGTTCGGGGGTGCCTTGTCCGAGTTTGGAGAGCATGTCCGCGTCTATGTTCTGTTCCCTTGGCACCTGCAGGACTTCGTGGTGGGCTAGCTGTCCCAAGAGTTGTAGCACTACGTCACGGTACCTCCTCATCCTGTCCTCGTTGGCCTCGAACTCCCCCGTAACCTGCCCCACCACGAGCCTGGAATCACATCTTATCTTCAGCTTCTCGGCCCTCATGCTCAGCGCGAGCCGGAGACCCCGAGGAGGGCCTCGTACTCGGCCTCGTTGTTTGACAATTTGAAGTGGAAACGGAGCGCGTAGTAGGCCCTGAAACCCTCGGGGTTACGAGGACGACCCCGCCTCCGCACCCTTGGCACTCGAGGATCCGTCTGTTGATAGGGTCCACCACTCTTCCTCCTCGCTTCGGGCCTGTTCGGTGGCCTCCCGGGCGGTGCACTCGACTATGAAATCGGCAAGTGCTTGTCCTTTTATAGCAGGTCTTGGCTTGAACTGGATGTTGTACTGGCTTAAGCGCATGGACCACCTTACCAACCTGCTGGCCGACCCGAGGCCCTTAACACCGACTCCAGGGGCTGGTTTGTTAAGACCTGAATGGGGTGCGCCTGAAAATAGTGATTGAGTTTCTTTGCGGTTACGTCTACTGCGAATATGGCTTTCTCGGTGGAGAGTACCTGAGCTCGGCTCCCCGGAGGGCACGACTCGTATAGTAGACGGGGCGTTTACACACCCGCGTCGTCCCGGACCAGCACGGAGCTGATCGCGGCTTGTGATATACCCAAGTACAGGTACAAGGTCTCCCCTCTCACGGGCTTGGCGAGCGGGGTAACGACATCATGTAGGCCTTGAGGTCGTCGAAGGCCTTCTGGCACTCGGGGGACCACTCGAACCCCGAACTCTTCTTGAGGACCGCGAAGAAGGGCAAGGACTTCTCGGCCGACCTCGAGAGGAACCGGCCGAGGGCCGCTAGCCTGCCGTTCAGGCGTTGGACCTCCCGGAGGGACCGCGGAGGCTCCATGTCCAGGATAGCCCTCACCTTGTCGGGGTTGGGCTCAATGCCCCTCTTGGAGACCATGTAGCCCAGAAATTTGCCCCCGTGCACCCGAAAGTGCATTTCTTGGGGTTCAACCTTAAATCATAACGCTGCATAATGGAAAATACCTCGTCTAAGTCGTTGACATGGGTATCGGCCTCTGCGCTTTTGACTATCATGTCGTCCACGTAGGCCTCCATGTTGCGGCCGAGGACCTGCTTGAAGACCTTGGCGACCATCCTGGTGTAGGTGGCCCCGGAGTTTTTGAGCCCAAAGGCCATGACTCTATAGCAGAAGACCCCTTCGGGGTTGTGAAAGCCGTCTTCTCCTCGTCGTCCTCATGCATGAAGATCTGGTGGTACCCCCGGAAGGCGTCCAGGAAGCTCATGAGGGCGCAGCCTGCCGTTTCGTCCACCAGCTGATCGATATTTGGTAACGGGAAGGGGTCCATGGGGCAGGCTTTGTTGAGGTCGGTGTAGTCCACGCACATCCTCCAGGTGGGGGGTTTGGGGGCGAGGACTACGTTGGCCAGCCATTTGGGGTATAGGACCTCCCGGACGTGCCCTATCTCGAGGAGGGTATTGACCTCCGTCCTCACGAACTCCCGCCTCTCTGCGAGAGGTACCTCTTGCGCTGCTGCACCGGCTTGGCTGTGGGGTCGACGGCGAGCTTATGGGTGATGACGTCCCTACTGAGGCCGGCATGTCCTCGGGTCCCCACGCGAACACCCCTTTGTAAGCCCTGATAACGTCAATGATGCGGGCCCGGAGCTCAGGGGCGAGCCCGGTTCCCACCTTCACCACGCGATCGGGGCGGCTGAGGTCGAGGACGACCTCCTCAGTCTCCACTACGGGCTCAGCTCGCGGGTGGCCCTCCTCCTCTTTCAGCGCCTTCTCTGCTATGGTGTGCACCTGGAGGTCCCGCTTGCCTATCTGTCGGCATGCCCGAAGGTAGCAACTCCGGCTGATCCTTTGGTCTCCCCGGGCGACCCCGACCCCGGTTGGCGTGGGAACTTGAGGCATAGGTGTTCCATAGAAATTATACACCTAAGGTCCTCCAGGGCGGGTCGGCCTAGGATTACATTGTGAGCGCAGCTGATTCTGACCACCACGAATTCTACCTCCAACCTCTTGGTGTGTGGCGGGGCGCCTATCTCGACCTCGAGGTTGATTGACCCTTCTGTCTCTATGGAATCCCCTGTGAACCCGGACAAAGGGGTTCTCACTTGTCCCAGCTGTTTCCTCGATAGCCCCAACTGGGTGAATGTGTCATGGTACATCACGTTCACCGAGCTGCCTGTGTCCACCAATACTCTGTGCACGACCACCTCGTTGATCTCCATCTTGACCACTAAGGCGTCCCGGTGAGGGAGGGGGCCGTCTGGGAGGTCGTCGTCGGTGAAGGTGATGGGCTCCCTCTGGGCCTCTTCTCGTGCGGTGGTCGCACGACCTCGCCCACGTAGAGGCTCCGTGCCCATTTCTTCCTCTCTGCGGGCGTGTCTCCCCCCTCGGGTCCCCGAAGATCACATGGATGGCCTGTTTCTTCTGGGGTGGGGGTTGTCTAGTTCTCTTTCCTCCTCATCAGTGAGCTGGCCGAGCTCCCTTTTGCGTGGCGCGGAGGCGGAGGGCTCGGAGCTGCCTCCCTTCCTCCACACGCGGCCCTGATGCTGACCTTGGCCCTGCCCAGGCCACTGCACGAACTGACCCAAGTAGCCTCTCTGGATGAGCTCCTCGATCTGGCGTTTGAGGAGGATGCATTCGTCCGTGTCATGCCCTGATTGTCGGTGGAATTTGCAGTATTTGTTGTGGTCGACCTTCGGGGATATCTTCATGCACTCCCCCGGGTACTCCACGATCCCCTGGCCTTCCGCATGCTCCAGGATTGTGCTGACGGGCTGCGTCAGCGGGGTGAGAAATGTGTGGGGGTCAACCTGGGCCCTCAGCGTACTCGCGGCGGGAGGCCTGGGTGCCCGGCGGTCTTCTTGGGGGCCTCGCGCCGGGGCGGCCGGTGCTTGGCGCTCCTCCCGGGGTTCCTTGCCTTTACGGTCCTTCCCCTCCTCCTCCTCCTTCTTCCTCTTCTCGGCTACCTCCGCGTCAGCAAACCTAGAGGCACGGTCCATCAACTCGGTGTAGGTCTTGGGGGGTACCGATGAGGTCCTGGTGGAAGGCGCCAGATCTAAGGTTGCTTCTGAAGATGGGTATGGCCGCTTTGTCGTCAAAATTGGAGACCCCTATCGACTCCTTCTTCCACTTGCTGAGGAAGTCGGCCAGGGACTCCGAACTCCTTTGTTTCAAAAAACATAAGTCAGCGAACTGCTTCTTTTTCCGCATATGGCCAGCGAAGTAAGACAGGAAACGTCTCGTGAGGGTGGCGAAGGTCGAGATGGATCCTTCCGGCAGGGACCCGCACCAGTCCTGTGCGTGGCCGTCTAGGGTCGAGAGGAAGCCTCGGCACATGATAGCGTCGCTGGCCCTAGTCATTAGCATGGCAGCTCGGTACCTGTTCAGGTGTTCACGCGGGTCAGTCGTCCCGGAGTACGCTTGAATGGTGGGGAAACGGAAGTTCGCGGGGAGGGGCTCCTCCATGATGTCCCGCGTGAAGGGGGGCGGTCAAGACGTCCAGAGGCTCCGGGGACCCGTTCCTGTCATTGATTTGCTTTTGCATTTCGTCCATCCGCCTGCGGAGTTGTTCGACCTCCCCGCGATGGGAGCTCGGAGCTCGACCATTCGACTCTCCCGATCGCTCGACCCGGGAGTGTTGCTCTTGCCGCGGGGCACGGGCCCCTGGCTTGGCGATCGTCTCGCCTGTGACTCCTGCTGCGGCGGGGCTCGGGGCCTCCTGTTGGGCGAGTTTCGCGAACATGACCCTGCGGCGGGCAGTCCGTCGCGCGGCCTTGGGCCAACCTGTCCCGGGCAGACACGCGAACGCCCAACCTCTCCAGGGCGGGCCTGGCTGGGGCCGACCTCCCTCGGACTCTCTCACCATCTTGATGTTGATCCAGGCGGATGTTGCCCCCCCCCCCCCCCCCCCCGCCTGTCCGAGGGCCGGGGCGAGTTAACCTCCCCCTCCGTCTGGGCGGCATGGGCGCGGGGTGGCCGGCTCGGGCCGCTACGCCCCTCGTGGGGGCCGGAGGCGGAGTCGGGGCTCTTCGGGGCGGCCTCCGAGCGACCGGAATACCTTCCTGGAGCCCCCGTGCGAGGCGGTTCAATGTCGCTGAAGCTTGTTGGAGGGCGGCCGCACCTTCCCGGAAGAGGGCAGCATCCGGGGAGGGCGGGCGGCCACCGCACCGTTGCAGTGGTTGTTGAGGCGATCTCTGAGGTCACCGCCGACCTCAAAGAAGGGACTTGTGGCTGACTAGTGGTCCCGTTGGGCCACCCCTAGGAGGGGAGGCACGGGTGTTACGGGAGCCGCGAGAGTTGGACCTCGACCTTGCCATCATGGGATATGGAGCACGCTCGAGCTTGTACGTCAACTCTCAACAAGAGCACCAATGATGGATTTAATTAACCGGGGTAGACCGAATTACTAAACCGATAAGTAATGGATAGGAAA